TGGGGGGTCAGTGGGAAGAATGCTCCTTACATTGGGGGTCAGTGGGAAGAATGTCCCTTACATTGGTGGTCAGTGGGAAGAATGTTCCTTACATTGGGGGTCAATGAGAAGAATGTCCCCTACATTGGTGTTCAGTGGGAAGAATGCTCCTTACATTGGTGGTCAGTGGGAAGAATGTCCCTTACATTGGTGGTCAGTAGGAAGAATGCCCCTTACATTGGGGGTCAGTGGGAAGAATGCTCCTTACATTGGAGATCAGTGGGAAGAATGTCCCTTACATTGGTGGTCAGTAGGAAGAATGCCCCTTACATTGGGGGTCAGTGGGAAGAATGCTCCTTACATTGGGGGTCAGTGGGAAGAATGTCCCTTACATTGGGGGTCATTGGGAAGAATGCTCCTTACATTGGGGTCAGTGGGAAGAATGCTCCCTTACATTGGGGGTCAGTGGGAAGAATGCCCCTTACAATGGTGGTCAGTGGGAAGAATGCCCCTTACATTGGTGGTCAGTGGGAAGAATGTTCCTTACATTGGTGATCAGTGGGAAGAATGTTCCTTACATTGGTGATCAGTGGGAAGAATGTTCCATTTACATTGGTGATCAGTGGGAAGAATGTCCCTTACATTGGGGGTCAGTGGGAAGAATGCTCCTTACATTGGGGATCAGTGGGAAGAATGCTCCTTACATTGGATGTCAGTGGGAAGAATGCCCCTTACATTGGTGGTCAGTGGGAAGAATGCCCTTACATTGGTGGTCAGTGGGAAGAATGCCCTTACATTGGTGGTCAGTGGGAAGAATGCCCTTACATTGGTGATCAGTAGGAAGAATGTCCCTTACATTGGTGGTCAGTGGGAAGAATGCTCCTTACATTGGATGTCAGTGGGAAGAATGCCCCTTACATTGGTGGTCAGTGGGAAGAATGTCCCTTACATTGGTGGTCAGTGGGAAGAATGCCCTTACATTGGTGATCAGTAGGAAGAATGTCCCCCTTACATTGGTGGTCAGTGTGAAGAATGCCCTTACATTGGTGGTCAGTGGGAAGAATGCCCTTACATTGGTGGTCAGTGGGAAGAATGCCCTTACATTGGTGATCAGTAGGAAGAATGTCCCTTACATTGGTGGTCAGTGTGAAGAATGCCCTTACATTGAAGAGGGGTTAGCCTGCGATGAGGTCGGCCAATGAGGAGGGACTTACAATAGTCAAGGCGAGAGATAACCAGGTTGCTTAGTGGTTTCCGGGGTTAGGAACGGGCGTATCTTAGAAATGTTGCGGAGGTGAAGTCTACAAGATTTGGATAGCGATTGGATTTGGGGCCGAAAGGACAGATGGGAGATTACATAGTTAGTCTGGCTGAAAAGTCCATCCAGTTCAAATAAAAAAAAAAAAAAAAAAAACATTTATTATTGGCTCCTGTCTAAATTGTCCCTAGTATGTGTATGTATGAATGTGAGTTAGGGACCTTAGATTGTACGCCCCTTGAGGGTTAGGGACCTTAGATTGTACGCCCCTTGAGGGTTAGGGACCTTAGATTGTACGCCCCTTGAGGGTTAGGGACCTTAGATTGTACGCCCCTTGAGGGTTAGGGACCTTAGATTGTACGCCTTGAGGGTTAGGGACCTTAGATTGTACACCCCTTGAGGGTTAGGGACCTTAGATTGTACACCCCTTGAGGGTTAGGGACTGATGTGAATGTACAATATATATGTAAAGCGTTGCGTAAATTGACGGTGCTATATAAGTATCTGTAATAAATAAAAATAAACCCGCACAGGGAGAACTTCAGGCAGGTGGTGCCATGGTTGGGTCTTTACCCAGCAACCCTAGTACTTGCCAGGCAGAAGTGCTAACCATTCAGCCTCTGTGGTTGGAGGTATCAATGAGCAATTACTATAGTACAATAATATATTATAAGATAATGGTGGTCCAGGTTGCCAATCTGGCAGGGCTTTAACTTTGTGTCCCCATTTGTGAGATTTCCCCTCACTTCCTGTCCCAGGTGACACCAAGACAGGAAGCGAGTAGCATCTCCCCAAAGGGGACCAAGACAGCAATAAAGGAAAACTTTGGTAAGTGGTGTCCAACACGTCATATCAGTGCGATGAAATCCTGGGCAGTAAGACGAGCGATTCGATGCCGGTGTGCGCGGAGAGAGGTCTGCTGCATTCCATCGGAATTGAACAAGTGATTCATAAACTACAATGTTTTCCTGCGGCTGAACACGCGTCCTGCTTTCCTCAGCAACACCTCGTTAATTGCTAGCTGTGCGCTTTTAAACTTTAATGGCATTGGGGTTCATCCGAAAAACACAGCCCCCCCCCCCCCCCCCCCCCCGGCCCTTCGTGAACCCCGCGACCCAATCCGTTTATTCAGAGGTATGATAACTCCGTTAATCCTGCCCCCGAGGATTATATTCAACAAGGCCACACCCATGTACACAATTATTGAATAAGCCCCCCCCAGAATATTTGTAGGGGATGCAGATCCTGTCCGACTGATTAGACCCCCCCCTCATTAGATTATATATACACACCACTGCTGAGACCACATAAAGTGCCTAATACATTATAAGGACATTATCATATGGCTGGCAACATTTATTTCGAGTCATTTAACACCCCCCCGCCCCCCCCCCAGCCAATCAATTATTATTGATGCCAATGTGTTATAATAGCAACAAATACATAAGCAGCGTCACGCCCGATCTAATATTGTGCATATAAAAAACTCACAATACATAAATGAATGAAAAGTCCCTTGTATTCCAAAGTCCCATAAAATGTCACTATAAAAGGGAAACTTTCACCATCAATCTTTTCTATCCAACATAATGCAGGCCATAGATGGGTCGCAAATCGACCGATTTTGCGCCCGAAAATAAAATCGGACGATTTTCGGATCGTTAGTGGGCTAATTGTTCGGCCGTTTTTTGGTATTTTGGCAGATTTTTTTTATCGGTAAAGTTGGAAAAAAATCGGCCAATTTTGCCGATTGGCCGATTTTCGCGGCAATGATGGGCAAATCGGCCGATCTTTTTACCGATAAAAAAATCTGCGCATGAGCAGTGACCTGCAAGAGGAAGACAAAAAGAAGAGGAAAAAGAAGAGGATCAAGAAGAGGAAGAAGAAGAAGATGAAGAGGATGAAGAAGAAGAGGATGAAGAAGAAGAAGCAGAGGATGAAGAAGAAGATGATGAAGAAGAGGATGAAGAAGAGGAGGAAGAAAGAAGAGGATGAAGAAAGAGACGAGGATGAAGAAGAGAAGAAGCAGAGGATGAAGAAGAGGAGAAGAAGAGGAGGAAGAAGAAGAATAGAAGAAGAAGAGGATGATGAAGAAGAGGAAGAAGAAGATGAAGAAGAGGATGAAGAAGAAGAGGATGAAGAAGAAAAGGATGAAGAAGAAGAAGAAGAGATGAAGAAGAAGAAGAGGATGAAGAAGAAGAAGAAGAGGAAGAAGAAGAGGAGGAAGAAGAAGAGGAGGAAGAAGAAGAATAGGAAGAAGAAGAGGATGATGAAGAAGAGGAAGAAGAAGATGAAGAAGAGGATGAAGAAGAAGAGGATGAAAAGAAAAAGGATGAAGAAGAAGAAGAGGATGAAGAAGAAGAAGAGGATGAAGAAGAAGAAGAGGAAGAAGAAGAGGAGGAAGAAGAAGAGGAGGAAGAAGAATAGGAAGAAGAGGATGAAGAAGAAGAAGAAGAGGATGAAGAGGATGAAGAAGAAGAAGAGGATGAAGAAGAGAAAGAAGAAGATGAAGAAGAGGAATTCCAGTCCGGCAAAAAGTGTCCCTGCAGAGAGCTCCGCAATTTCTTTGACAGTTCCTTGACATTTATAGCGGTTGCAACAATGTATCTATTTGTTTCCGAATAAAAACATCTGTATCCTAAATGGATACAAATACATTGTTGCAACCGCTATAAATGTCAAGGAACTGTCAAAGAAATAGCAGAGCTCTCTGCAGGGACACTTTTTGCCGGCTGTAGACTGGATGAAAATCGGCCGATTTTTTTTACCGTTGCTGGTAACGTCGGCCGCTTGAACGACCGATTTTTTGTTTTTTTTTAAAGAAAAATCGGCCGATTTTCGACCCATCTATGGCCTGCATTAGTCAGTCGCTCCAAAAAGAAACGTGCCCTTCTAAAAATAAAAATGAAATCCTCCTGCGCTTCAATGGATGATCCCTATACCTAAGCTGCTCACACCCAATCCTAAACCCAATAGGTGAAAAAACAAATTGACATAAAATGGTGTAGCGCTAATAAATAATATAACAAACAAAAATATGTAACTAAAAATATATGTACATATTACAAAAATAAATGCCAAGTGGTAAGATCCTCTCAGGATCCAATAGTGAAAAATGGATACTATAGTGAATCGTGTACCACGAGAAATCCTGTGAAGTGAGAACACAGATATATACAACCCCCATCCACAACTGGGGGATCAATAAATCAAAGTATAAATATGGTGAATATAAAGGGGAGTCCCCTAAACGGGGATAATGAAGTGTGTCCCCTGACAAGGGGATAAAACAACTCAAAGTGATAAGTGTCACAAATAAACACACTTGACCACAAATAACCATCAAACAATGATAGTGACAAATAGGTGAATATGCGAACATATAAAATTACAGTCCGCATAAAACAAGTCCAATTCAAATAATCACATGTGAACATATACACGTGATCCACAAACGAAGATCATGCATGTGATGAAGTGAAACTCGTGCTCACAGCAATGGTGTAAATATCCTTCAATGGCCAGAGTTTAGGGGACTCACCTTTGTATTCACCATATATATATAATACTATTTTGATTTATTGATCCCCCAGTTGGGGATGGGGGTTGTATATATCTGTGTTCTCACTTCACAGCATTTCTCGTGGTACTCGATTCACTATAGTATCCATTTTTCACTATTGGATCCTGAGAGGATCTTAGCACTTGGCATTTATTTTTGTAATGTGGCCCTTGTAATAATCCCAACCACCCGGGAGTCAGGTACTAACTTGACGATGTTCACTCCTAGAGTGAAAGTACCGTATTTTTCGCTCCATAAGACGCACCTAGGTTTTAGAGGCGAAAAAGAAAAAAAAATATTCTGAACCAATGGACTGCAGACACAGTACAAGGGATGACCAGAGACTGCGGACACAGTACAGGGGATGACCAGAGACTGCGGACACAGTACAGGGGATGACCAGAGACTGCGGAGACAGTACAGGGGATGACCAGAGACTGCGGACATAGTGCAGGAGATTACCAGAGACTGCGGACACAGTACTGGGGATTACCAGAGACTGCGGACACAGTACTGGGGGAGATGACCAGAGACTGCGGACACAGTACAGGAGAGAATGACCAGAGACTGCGGACACAGTGCAGGAATGACTAGAGACTGCAGACAGTGCAGGGAATGACAGAGACTGCGGACACAGTGCAGGAGATGACCAGAGACTGCGGACACAGTGCAGGGAATGACCAGAGACTACGGACATAGTACAGGGATGACCAGAAACTGCGGATACAGTATAGGAGATGACCAGAGACTGCAGACACAGTACAGGAGATGACCAGTGACTGCGGACACAGTACAGGAGATGACCAGAGACTGCGGACAAAATACAGGAGATGACCAGAGACTGCAGACACAGTACAGGAGATGACCAGAGACTGCGGACACAGTACAGGGAATGACCAGAGACTGTGGACACAGTACAGGAGATGACCAGAGACTGCGAACACAGTACAGGAGATGACCAGAGACTGCGGACACAGTACAGGGAATGACCAGAGACTGTGGACACAGTGCAGGGAATGACCAGAGACTGCAGACAGTGCAGGGAATGACCTGAGACTGCAGACAGTGCAGGGAATGACCAGAGACTGCAGACAGTGCAGGGAATGACCAGAGACTGCTGACCTTTGGGGAGGGAGGGGGAGCGGGTACCTGAATTTGACAGGTACCCGCTCCCACTTCTGCGGAGTTGTCCTTCCCTCTTCTTCCCGGGCCGGCTTCTGTGACAGCCGGGTGCCCACTGCACATGCGCGAGAAGCGCTGCGCTTTGTGAATGGCCCGAAGCCTTCTGGGACCTGTCATGTGTCCCAGGAGACACCGGATCATTCACAAAGCGCATCACATGCGCAGTGGGCACCCGGCTGTCACAGAAGCCGGCCCGGGAAGACTGTGCAGCGCTGGAGCGAGGAACAGGTAAGGTCCTGCAGGAGAGAACAGCTGAGCGGCCGGCCCGGTATTCTGACATGGTGGCGGCAGAAATACCGGACCGGCAGCTTTATATTCGCTCCATAAGACGCACTGACATTTTCCCCCCTTTTTTGGGGGGATAAAAGTGCGTCTTATGGAGCGAAAAATACGGTAATTCTTTGCTATAAGCAAATTGTGTAAAAAAAATATCACTTCCCCAAAGTAGTACAATGTTACTATGGTAACATTGTGCTACTTTGGTCATAGTGAAATATGAAAAAAAATCTTAAAAAAAAAGAAACAAAATGTAATAAAAAATTAAAAATAATTAAAAAAATATATATATATTTTTTTTGTTTTCACACTGTCACCAGTCAGTGTCCCTGATCACCGCCATGCCAGTTATATGATGATGCTGTACTGCACTGGTGACAGTATGTAAAAAAAAAAATAGTGAAAATAATTTTTTTAATTTTTTCATTTTCCGAAAAATTATGACAAAAAAAATACAACTTCAAAAAACTTGCCATGCCTCTTATGAAGTACGTCGGACTGACTACTCTGCAAGAAGGGGTCATTTGGGGGATATCTGTACTGTCCTGACATTTGGGGGATATCTGTACCGTTCTGATATTTGGGGGATATCTGTACTGTCCTGACATTTGGGGGATATCTGTACCGTTCTGACATTTGGGGGATATCTGTACTGTCCTGACATTTGGGGGATATCTGTATTCTGACATTTGGGGGATATCTGACATTTTGGGGGATCTGTACTATTCTGAAGACCTCAAGAAATTAGATTGGCTGTCAGTACTTCAGGATTGATCAATTTTCAGATCTATACCATAGTTTGTGAACTCTATAACTTTCCTACAAACTAAATAATACATCCTAATTTGGGTTATTTTCACCAAAGACATGTAGCAGAATACATCTCGGCCTAAATTTATGAAGAACAATTATTTATTTGCAAACTTTTATAACAGAAACAAAGAAAAACGTTTTTTTTTTTTCAAAATTTTCGGTCTTTTTTTGTTAATTTAGCAAAAAATAAAAACCCCAGCGGTGATTAAATACCACCAAAAGAAAGCTCTAGTTGTGTGAAGAAAATGATAAAATTTTAGTTTGGGTACAATGTTGTATGACCGCGCAATTGTCATTCAAAGTGTGAGAGCGCTGAAACCTGAAAAATGGCCTGGGCAGGAAGGTGTAAAAGTGCCCGGTATTGAAGGGGTTAACTTAATGGAATTTTATTTCCAAAAAACAAGGTATTGACAATAAACAAAAACGACTGACCAAATACTTTCAGGATGGCCACCAGCGGTGGCGTGCCATCAAGATGCTGTAGCCCCTCACTGACGCGTTTCGTGCAAAGCACTTACTCATAGGGTGCAGGCTTAGAGCGCCTGTTGCTGACAGTAGGGAGAATAATGCCTCAAGGGCTGGATAAAAGCAAGCAAAGGGCCAATCCATCCCCGGGCCACAGTTCGCAGACCACTGCATTAAATAAACACCTCAACATAAAAAAAAAAAAAAGTAAAAAAAAAGTTGCCTTGACTTTCATTCATTAATACATCTAGAAACAAAAATCAGATTTCACTTTACAATGATCAGTTGGGTGGTTTGCGGTCAGAGCCAGGAGGAGGAATGACCGGAGCTCAGGAGGAGTGACCGGAGTCGGGAGGAGGAATGACCGGAGCTCAGGAGGAGTGACCGGAGCCGGGAGGAGGAATGACCGCAGCCTGGAGGAGGAGTGACCGCAGCCCGGAGGAGGAGTGACCGCAGCCCGGAGGAGGAGTGACCGCAGCCCGGAGGAGGAGTGACCGCAGCCGGGAGGAGGAGTGACCGGCAGCCGGGAGGAGGAGTGACCGCAGCCGGGAGGAGGAGTGACCGGAGCCGGGAGGAGGAGTGAGCCGGAGCCGGGAGGAGGAGTGGCCGGAGCCGGGAGGAGGAGTGACCGGAGCCGGGAGGAGGAGTGGCCGGAGCCGGGAGGAGGAGTGACCGGAGCCGGGAGGAGGAGTGACCGGAGCCGGGAGGAGGAGTGACCGGAGCCGGAGGAGGAGTGACCGGAGCCGGGAGGAGGAATGACCGGAGCCCGGAGGAGGAGTGACCGGAGCCCGGAGGAGGAGTGACCGGAGCCCGGAGGAGGAGTGACCGGAGCCCGGAGGAGGAGTGACCGCAGCCCGGAGGAGGAGTGACCGCAGCCCGGAGGAGGAGTGACCGCAGCCCGGAGGAGGAGCGACCGCAGCCGGAGGAGGAGTGACCGGAGGAGGAGGAGTGACCGCAGCCGGGGGAGGAGGAGTGACCGGAGCCGGGAGGAGGAGTGACCGGAGCTCAGGAGGAGGAATGTCCGGAGCTCAGGAGGAGGAATGACCGGAGCCGGGAGGAGGAATGACCGGAGCGGGAGGAGGAATGACCGGAGCTCAGGAGGAGGAATGTCCGGAGCTCAGGAGGAGGAATGTCCGGAGCTCAGGAGGAGGAATGACCGGAGCCGGGAGGAAGAATGACCGGAGCCGGGAGGAGGAATGACCGGAGCTCAGGAGGAGGAGTGACCGGAGCTCAGGAGGAGGAATGTGACCGGAGCCGGGAGGAGGAATGACCGGAGCCGGGAGGAGGAATGACCGGAGCCGGGAGGAGGAATGACCGGAGCCGGGAGGAGGAATGACCGGAGCCGGGAGGAGGAATGACCGGAGGCGGGAGGAGGAGTGACCGGAGGCGGGAGGAGGAATGACCGGAGTCAAGAGGAGGAGTGACCGGAGCTCAGGAGGAGGAGTGACCGGAGCTCAGGAGGAGGAGTGACCGGAGCTCAGGAGGAGGAGTGACCGGAGCTCAGGAGGAGGAGTGACCGGAGCTCAGGAGGAGGAGTGACCGGAGCTCAGGAGGGAGGAGTGACCGGAGCTCAGGAGGAGGAGTGACCGGAGCTCAGGAGGAGGAGTGACCGGAGCTCAGGAGGAGGAGTGACCGGAGCTCAGGAGGAGGAGTGACCGGAGCTCGGGAGGAGGAGTGACCGGAGTCAAGAGGAGGAGTGACCGGAGAGGAGGAGTGACCGGAGCTCAGGAGGAGGAGTGACCGGAGCTCAGGAGGAGGAGTGACCGGAGTCGGGAGGAGGAGTGACCGGAGTCAAGAGGAGGAGTGACCGGAGCTCAGGAGGAGGAGTGACCGGAGCTCAGGAGGAGGAGTGACCGGAGGCGGGAGGAGGAGTGACCGGAGTCAGGAGGAGAGTGACCGGAGCTCAGGAGGAGGAGTGACCGGAGCTCAGGAGGAGGAGTGACCGGAGCTCAGGAGGAGGAGTGACCGGAGCTCAGGAGGAGGAGTGACCGGAGGCGAGGAGGAGGAATGACCGGAGTCAAGAGGAGGAGTGACCGGAGCTCAGGAGGAGGAGTTACCGGAGCTCAGGAGGAGGAGTGACTGGAGCTCAGGAGGAGGAGTGACCGGAGGCGGGAGGAGGAATGACCGGAGTCAAGAGGAGGAGTGACCGGAGCTCAGGAGGAGGAGTGACCGGAGCTCAGGAGTGACCGGAGGCGGGAGGAGGAGTGACCGGAGCTCAGGAGGAGGAGTGACCGGAGCTCAGGAGGAGGAGTGACCGGAGGCGGGAGGAGGAATGACCGGAGTCAAGAGGAGGAGTGACCGGAGCTCAGGAGGAGGAGTGACCGGAGCTCAGGAGTGACCGGAGCTCAGGAGGAGGAGTGACCGAAGCTCAGGAGGAGGACCGAAGCTCAGGAGGAGGAGGAACGACCGGAGGCGACCGGGGAGGAGGAACGACCGGAGGCGGGAGGAGGAACGACCGGAGGCGGGAGGAGGAACGACCGGAGGCGGGAGGAGGAAGTGACCGGAGTCGGGAGGAGGAGTGACCGGAGGCAGGGGAGGAGGAACGACCGGAGCTCGGGAGGAGGAATGACCGGAGCTCGGTAGAACAGCACAATTAACCTCAATTTGCTTTTTGCCTATTTTGTTTTTCCTCTCTGATCTCTGCAGTCAGTGGAAAATTACAGCAATTATTCGCCTCGTTACAACTTTTTTTTCATTTTTTTTGTCATTTTTTTTTAAATGTCTGTCTGCATCCATTAGAGGAGCTGAAAAAACAACAAGAGGAGTTTCAGGCAAAAAACAAAACAAAATGTACAATGGATTCGTAGTATCAAAAGTTGTTTCCTTGCGTAATCTTTTTATTGAGGATCCACAAAGCCCAACAGACGCAGCCCGTTCCTGTTTGTGGCCTGACAGTGCGTTGGACAGCAAGTTTGCCATCGCACACAATGCTGCCCCGTGCAACAACAAACCAACACAACTGCTAAAAAGAGATTACAAACCCTCCAAAGTTCAGCTACGGCGACAGTTTATAATTAACAGGAGAGACCGTCCAAGTGCACAGAACCTCAGATTCTGCAGGTTTGCTATTTATTTGTATCTTGCAAACCGTCCTCTCCGCTCCTCACAAGACCTCCTACTCTCTATCTCCCTTGTCTCCTCCTCACATGCTCATCTCCAGGACTTCTCCAGAGCTTCCCTCATC